GTCATGCGGGGTATTGGGAAAAGGCTTCAATTAGCAATACCCGCGCCTCGGATAAACCTCATTGCCCCTGCGCAAAGCTCAGGCCCCCCTTTGGAACCAGGGAATTCCTGGTTCCCACACAGCCTCCCACCGCGGACACCATGCTCTCCGTACACTGCACTCTAACCTGAGTCTGCCTCGTGCCGCCCTCCTCTCCCTTTTCCACCCGCAAGGTGGGTTTTAGCTCCACCTCACACTGAGCCGTGTGGCTGCCTCCCAGGAGCGTCCTGGCACCCATGGTTCTCAGACCCCGACCCTCCCCTCCCTCAGGTCTCAGTTTAAACATCCGCTGGATCCTGAGAGGTTTCCCACCTCCACCCATTCCTGTTTCACTACAGTCCTTTCTCATCAGAGAACATTTCATGCATTTGTTTTGTTTCTTGTCTGTCCCCCACCCCCTCCCCGGACTGCCAGCTCCTTAAGGGCAGGGCCCTGGCACCACCCGGGCCGGTACACTTGTTGAATGAATGAATGGTAAACCTTTGGGCTTCAAAAGCAAACCTGAGGTTCAACTACTTATTCACTTATCGTTCGCTCATCGTTCAGCTTCAGTAAAGCATTCCTGCGACTTCTCACGAACACTAAGCACATTCTGGGGGTCTCCCATTCTGACCTCCTCTGCAGACTCCTCACATTTCCTGGGCGGTGTCAGGGGCGAGACCTCTTGTGCCCCAGCAAATGCCCCTCGGGACTCACTCAGTCACGCCCGAGGCTCCCGGCGTCTCCGCCTGGATCAGCTCCACCGTATACGAGTCCACAGGATTCAGGTTCCCAGACTCCCAGCAAATCAGCGCAGCCTCCTCACAGCTCCTCACCTCTTTGCTCTTTATAACGGGGGGAGAAGGTGCTAAACGCAAGGAAAGGGAGAGGTGAGCCACCGTTCTGTTCACACCCAGTCGCCTGGTCCAGAGCACGGACAGCATCACAACAACACTTTCCACAAGACATTCAGGACCATGAAAAGCAAACCAGGTGCCGTAGACTGTGTGAATTTCAGCAAATTCATGTGCTGAAACCTCCCCAGTGTGATGGCATCTGGAGTCTTGGGGGGAGGGGTTGTCATGAGGTTGGAGGGGTTATTATAGAAGAGAACAAAAGAGCTCCTTTGCCCCTTTCCTCACGGAGGACACAGCTGCCTATGGACCAGGACGGAAACTCCCATCTCAGAGTGTGAGAGGTTAAGAGTCTGGGTTTCTAAGCCGCCTGCTGGTCTGTAGTTCTGTTACAGCAGCCGGAACAGGCGCCAGGAATCCCTTTGGGTGGACAAGGACTGGAGGAGGGCTGCGAGGTTCAACCGGCCCTGTGACTGAGAACAGCAATGCTTTTTTTTTTTTTTTTAAATATGTTTTATTGATTTTTTTATAGACAGGAAGGGAAAGGGAGAGGGATAGAGTGTTTGAAACATCGATGAGAGGAACATCGATCAGCTGCCTTCTGTACACCCCCCACTGGGGATGTGCCCGCAACCAAGGTACATGCCCTTGACCAGAATCGAACCTGGGACCCTTCAGTCCGCAGGCTGACACTCTATCCACTGAGCCACACCGGTTAGGGCAAAGCAGTGCTTTTTGACCTTTTGAGACCAACTACGAGGAAACGTCCCTGCCGTATCGGGCATGTGGATTTGGTGTATTAGATAAAAAGAAAAAAATACACAGCTACCCCCGTCCATCCAAATGAAATCAAGATCCCGCCACACCAAGGAAGCCGTGACTCGTGTGTGCCTCGAAGGAACAAGGGCTTCAGTACCTGTCATGTACACTGCACACTCGCTGGCGGGGCTGAGACCAGCCCTGTTCTGAGCTGTGACCCGAAACTCATACTGAGTATTTGGCACAAGGTTTGCCACTGAGCAGTACGTCTCCTTGACGGTCACTGTAGACTCTGGAAAGAAAAGAAAAAAGAATTCAACCCTAAAACAGGCCAGTGGCTCCTATTCATTGTGCCCTCGCTCATCACTGCTTAAACTCACTCTTACTTTCCTCAAGATGCCCCTCCTTTGCCGGTCCCTGGGCAGAACCCTCCTCTCCTTTGGCACTCAGGACTCTCCCCTGCACAAGGACCAGAGCTCTGGGCAGGAGCCTAGGGACTGGATCCTCATCCTGGTGCCACTATAACTCACGCTGTCTCCATGGACAGCTCACTTCTCTCTGGGTCTCAGTTTCTTTATCCACAAAATGGGTGTCTCCAAGTCCCTTTCCCACATTCTCACTCTGACCCCATGCACATAGGACAATCCCTGCCAGGCTGGCCGATCCGATTCCTTCAGAGGCTTAGCGGGGCCTCCTCTGTTGCCTGACCCTCTCCGCTCAGCAGGAAATGGCTTGTCTGTTATGGGGGGAGGCAGCTACCCAACCCTCCACATCAGTCTGTTCCATTTCCCTGGGAAGAGGCTGGATCAAGAGCTGCCCACAGCCCTAGCCGGTGTGGCTCAGTGGATAGAGCATCAGCCTGTGGACTGAAGGGTCCTAGGTTCAATTCTGGTCAAGGGCACATGCCCGGGTTGTGGCTCGATCACCAGTAGGGACGTGCAGGAGCAGCCGATCAATGATTGTCTCTCATCATTGATGTTTCTATCTCTCTCTCCCTCTTCCTTCCTCCCTATAATTAATACAAATATTAAAAAAAAAAAAAGAACTGCCTACAGTCAAATGGGGGTCTACAGTTTCTCCCACACAGGGCTGCTCCGAGGATAGCCAGCCGCCCTCACAGGCCAGGCCCTGCTAGGACCCGCCAGCCCAGTTGGGCCTCCTCCAGCAGGGGTGCCCCACCTCCTGCACACAGTGCGGCCAGAGCCTTGTCCCGAGGACAATGCTGACCACAACGTGCAGATGCCCTCCAGACACGTCAGCCTGGCCCTCCAGACACGTCAGCCTGGCCCGTGGTCCCCCAGTCAGGCCCCGACTTGCTTTTAGAGGCCTTTCTACCTGCTCACCTGCCAGCATCACAGCCTCTGGGTAGTTCCCAGATGGCGACCGCTCCAGGGCTGTGTGAGCAGATTTATCCCCTCCCCTCCCCTCCCCCGACTGCCAGGAAGGCAGGGCCAGGCCTCTGAGGGGGGCCATCTGGAGCGTGGCTGCTCCCGGCAGAGCCTCACCTGGGTGGTCCGTCCCAGGCGAGCCGTCCCGCACTGGCCGGTAGGACAGCTGGTAGCTCTCCACGGTGTCATCAGAGTACAAGCTCCAGCAGACGCGGACCGAGGAACCCGTGGCTGAGTTGGGGGCCTGCGGGTTTATCACCGGGGCAGAAGGAGCTAGAAAAGGAGAAGGGAGGAAAACGAACACTGATGAGGGGGCCTAAGTAGATGGGGTGGGGAGGCCCCTTTCTCGGGACCACTGATCCCCCCATGGGCTCCCATGGGCTCAGGAAATGGACGAGGGAGCCCAGAGTGGACAAGGATGGGAGGCCAAACCTCCCGACCAGGAGCTGCAGGCCACAGCCAGCGTGTCCCTTCCTGCTTGGACAAACCCGCAAGAGCCCGGAGAGGAGGGGTCGTGACAGGGACTCAGGCTGGCGTATGGTCTGCGAGTCCTGCCCTACATGTGGTCCTCTGCCCCTTCCATACCACCCGGAGGGGCGGGACAGCAGGACTCAGCACTGCTGTCTAAGAATGGCCCCGAGACTTATGACTGAGGGCCGGTATTCCGGTTTATGGTGGCAGAAAAACCTAGAAACATCCAACATCCAACAGCTGAGAATTAAACAAACATGGTTTTAAAAATGATGTTGCAGAAAAACGTATCCCTTATCACTGAGATAGAATACGCATCATAATTATTTTGTTAGGAAAAGCAGATTACAAAGCAGAATGACTCCATTTTTATCTTTAAAAAATCTGCGTAAAAAACACACCTAAAAGGAGATATACAATATTGTTCACAATGTTGCTGGTGTTGGTAAGGAGGGAAGGTGAGCCATCAAAAAAGCTGAATTCTAGTACTAGTCTCAGAAGTAATTACAAGTAATAGGTTTGAGAGCTACCTGGCACCATGCGATGTGCTGTACATATAGGACCTCATTTAATTCTCACCCTGTCCCCACGAGGCATTATCACGCCCATTTTACAGACGAGGAAACCAAGGCTCAGAGTGGTTAGGTAAGTTGTCTAGGGTTACACAGCGAGGAAGTGGCAAGCTTGGGCTTCTTGCCCACTCCACAGGATTCCAAAGCTCATCTCGTAACCTCTATGCTGGTTACGGAAATAAAACTCAGGCTCCTTGTTTGGTGAAGGTGTTGATGAAGTGGGGCACGCTACGAATGGAAACTACTTCGAGGCTTCCCTGAGCCAGGTGTTGGCACTCGGAGAGTGAGGGTGGGCACTCAGCTGGGGAGGTCAGCCTCTGTTCTCACCCTTACAAGCCATGAAGACAGAAACATGAAGCTAGAGGGGAAATACTTTTCTAAGTCTTCGTGTTATTTCTAGCCATCCACGTTTCTACCTCAACGCTCAGGGAACGGACGTGCTGGGACGCCCCGCCCGGGGTAGATGAGCACCTGGGATGGTGTTGATGGAGCCCAGCAGCTGCTCCACGTCAGAGAAGTCCAAGGTCTGGTCCTCCAAGGCAGGCTGTGCGGAGATTTCCACGTCGGTTTTTGTTTCCAGGAATTTCCTGAGTCTGTTGGTATTAAAAGACATGCTAGTAAGACGGGAGAGGCATCCTCCTCAGTGTCTCTTTAGTGTGCTGGGCCACTAGTAACACATGAAGAGGGTTTTGCTGCTTCGATGGCTGACCTAGCAGGGCACCAATGGGGATGGGTGGGTCTGGTCTGTCCACGAGGGGGAAGGGGAGGGGAGACATGCAGCAAACCCCAGATCCACACCCTCTGAAGACCCCTCTGGTGCTAACCTGGGAGCTCCCTCCCACACCACCCGCAGCCCCAGACATACAGACTCCCTGGGGTTCCCTCTCCACAGGCCACATGCCCTCAGCTTGCCCACCGTGCAGTGGGGCTCTGGGTCTCCTTATACCTGCTTCCTGGCAGTCACAGGCTTTGAGTGGCAGGGGCAGAACTGAAACCACATCTGTCTTTTGCCAGCACTCATGCTATTAACTCTTAACACTATTAAACTTTGTTGTTCATGTTGTTTTTAAGACACTGCCCCATTGAACTTCCTGTATGAGGAAGGTGGGTCCTAGACTGGTTGGACACCCCAGGTCATGGGGGAGCCGGAGTGAACGCCTGTCTGACTCTCTGATGTGTGTGCTTTCTGCAGCGCACGGTCTGGTCCTGGCACAGCTGGGGACTCTCTGGATCGCAGCTCCTCCAGGGGCTGCTGGCTGGGCCTCACCACACACTCCCTTCCAGCCCTGGGATTCTGAGGTTCGGTACCAGAGGGTCCCTGTCACCCCACACCGTTGTTCTGAAGCTGCCAGGGTCCAGCCCCAGCGGTCCAGGGGGTCCCAAAGGTGTGGACGGAGTCAGCGAAGAATGTTTTACACAGAGACAGCGTTCAGAACTCTCTAGCTCTCTTTAGTCTCCGTGGATCTTCCTGTGCCTGGCTGAGGCCACAGAGAAAGATCCCGAGGCAAGCTGAGCCTTTATTTTATAGTCAGAGGTAAACAAGGTATTGGTTTCCATAGTTACACTGTTCTTGTGTGTTTCACTTGTTTTTGTTCTTGCTGCACTTCCCTCAGCCTATTAGCTTCCCAGATAAGATCTAGGGGGCGTCATAAGGTCAAGCCTAAATATGCCAAGAGGACTGTGCCCTCTAAGCTGGGACTTGTTTGTGACTTTGCCAACAGGTCAGTCCGAGGTTTAACCCTATAGCGGCTCCCCACATGAAGCCAGCGCTATTATTTAACCTTAGGGGCTCACACAAAAGCTGAGACTGGGAGTAAACCACCAAGGAACAGAAGAAGAAAATACACGTGAGAACAAAAGCATTACCTGTCAGCCATAGCCACAGCATCCTAAAAAGGAGGAGAAAAGGAGACAATATAAACGTATTCAAAAACCTGGAAATTAGTAAAGAGAAAAAACCCAGCCATATCCCACGCTCTAACGCAGCCCGTGTAGTTCCTTCCACACGACCTTTGCACATTAACGTCACGCAAGCACTTTCCATGCTACGAACGGTCCCTGGGCCATCGATGGGAAAGACTGCAGAGCAGTTCCCTGGGTGGGAACTGCATCGTGTACCTCACCGATCTTCTACTGTTGGACATTCTGGTTGCCTCCCATTTCTCTCCATCATAAACAGCAGTGGGAAGGACTGCCTCACGTGTATCTCTCCCCACCTTCTGGATTATGTCTCGAGATGCAGTGGGATTGTGGGGCGAGGGGCCGCTGGTTCAGGTCTGAGCACTGAGGGCTCTAGAGGTGCCTTCCAACCAGCTTTCCAGCTCCAGTCACAGGGCCCTCGCCCAAGCACGGCTGGAAGGAGGCGCTGCTGGGCTTTGAGGGACCACGATGGGCTTAGTCAGCGTGGAGGTCACTTGTGACCAACAGGAAGCTCCAGAGGCCCAAGGCCCCGCCCCCACATCCCGGACACAACTGTCAGGAAGGGGACCGACTCTGACTGAGGAAATTCGCACAGCCCAGCTGCAGGGGGCGTGGCATCAGATTTAATTAGATTTCAAGGAAATTAAGAAATAGAGCTTTTTTTTTTTTTTGGCACATCTGAGTTTATGAGGTAAGATTTATAATTGCTGTACTTGTGACCGGGACAGTGGAGGTGACTTTATTTTTTTGTTTTGTTTTGTTAATCCTTACCTGAGGATATTTTTCCATTGATTTAAAAAATATATATATTTTATTGATTTTTTACAGAGAGGAAGGGAGAAGGATAGAGTTAGAAACATCGATGAGAGAGAAACATCAATCAGCTGCCTCCTGCACACCCCCCACTGGGGATGTGCCCGCAACCAAGGTACACGCCCTTAACTGGAATCGAACCTGGGACCCTTCAGTCCGCAGGCCGATGCTCTATCCACTGAACCAAACCTGTTAGGACTCCACTGATTTTTTTAATGTTAAACTTTGATTAATTTAACAAATATGAATAATGCTGTACACATAGATTTTACATAGCTTCACAACATTTTTTGTTAATCCTCACCCGAGGACATTTTTCCATTGATCATTTAGAGAGAGTGGAAGAGAGGAGAAGACAGAGAAACATCGATGTGAGAGAAACTCATCGATTGGTTGCCTCCTGCACATTTCCGACCAGGGCCCGGGCTGGGGAGGAGCCTGCAACCAAGGTACATGCCCTTGACCAGAATCGGAATTGTATCCAGTCCATAGGCCAACACTCTACCCACTGAGCCAAACCAGCTGGGGCTGGAGGTGACTTTTTAAAACTAGACAGCCTTCTTCCCAGAGCTCCAAGAGACGGCCAGGAAACTCAGAGCACTGCTCTGGCTCAGCCCAAGGAAGAGGAGACGGGGGGACAGACCTCCAGGCAGCCAGGGTAGGGGAACAGGGGCTCTGTGTCAGCTGAGCCATGGTGGAGGGAAGGGGACAGCTGCGTGTGAGCCCACCTGGCCACTGGCGGGTGACAACCCCCTGCCATGAACAGCCTGGAGAATCAAACGGGTGCTGACCGTAAACGTCAATTCCAACCCCTCCCGGCAGAGGGGGGCCACCGAACCCGCTCCCGCCGTAACTGTCATGTCAGCGCGTTATTTCCTCTCGCTTCCGACTGACCTTTATGAAGTCCACCTTCTCCTCATGGCAGATCTCCTCTACCGTTTCCATGAGCTCCTTACAGGTGTCCAGGTTTTCTCCACAGCTGACCAGTTGTCCGTACAAGGCCTCCAGCTTCTCTTTCTTTTTCTCCACTAGGGCTTGTATTTTCTCTTCGTATTTCTGAGCAAGTGTTTCCAAGATCTCGTTGTAGTGGGACTCAAAGTTCTGTTCTTGTCTTCCAAAATTCTCCTGCAGGACAGTGGACCTCAGTCATCATTTCAGTGCATGAGGTGTGTCAGCTAGTCATTTGGGGCATAAACATGTATCTACCCAGAGATGTTTTATTTATTTTTTATTTTTTTAAAATATATTTTATTGATTTTTTTTTACAGAGAGGAAGGGAGAGGGATAGAGAGTTAGAAACATCGATGAGAGAGAAACATCGATCTGCTGCCTCCTGCACACCCCCTACTGGGGATGAGCCCGCAACCAAGGTACATGCCCTTGACCGGAATCGAACCTGGGACCCTTCAGTCCGCAGGCCGACGATCTATTCACTGAGCCAAACTGGTTAGGGCTACCTAGAGGTGTTTTAGTCCCACCCCGTCATCTTATCTCTTGCCAGAATGCTGGGGTGGATGCAGGGGGAGCTGGGACCAGGAGTCTCCAGCTAGAACCCCAGGGATAATCCTAACAAAAACACTGCTTTCTCTCCTGCAGCATTTTGCCATCCTCCTCCTCACTCTCAAACCACCCACGTTTTCCCCACCTCCCATCACCATGACAACCAACCAAGGCAACTGATCATCAATGCTGAGTCTGCCTGCCACTGGAACGTTGGACCTCAGCAAAGAGATGTTTGCCCTGGGAGATTCCCACCTGAGCTCTCGACATCTCAGGACCCTCGCCTCCACTCTTTGGTGCGTGGATTATACAAATGCCAGGACCATGGATCTTCATATCAACGAGAGAAGGATGAAGGGAAAGGGCAATAAGGGCTGTGGCCACATGGTGCTGACTAACAGATGAGGAAAGGCAGGAAGGCGAGGGAGGGTCATGACAGTACTTATCCTGGAGCACAATGGGTGAGAAATGACCAGAGCATACCAACCCCTCGTCCCCAGGAGAGATCTGCGGCTTCTGACTGATGCCATCCTCATCAGATAACATTTCCAAACAAGAGGATCAATCATTCAGGGGTTGTTTATTGAGCACCTACTATGTGTATAAGACTTGCTCCGATGGCAGAAGAGAGGGAAAAGCAGTAGAGGCCTCCCCGGTGCTGAATGTAAAGGGAAGAGCTGAGTCCGCTGAGGTGCAGATACGCTGACCTGAGAGTGAGCTGGCCGTTCAGAGTGCAGGCAGTTTTGTCCCTCCTATTGGACTCTTACCCTTCCCACCACCAGCCTGTGCTTACAGGGGAAGGACTTACCCTCTCTGTACCTTCCCTAGGGCGTTACTGCCATAGCTCTCCTCCCTTTCAAGATTAGGGGTGAAGTGCCGAAACCGGTTTGGCTCAGTGGATAGAGCGTCGGCCTGCGGACTGAAAGGTCCCAGGTTCGATTCCGGTCAAGGGCATGTACCTGGGTTGCAGACACATCCCCAGTGGGAGATGTGCAGGAGGCGGCTGATCGATGTTTCTCTCTCATCGATGTTTCTAACTATCTCTCTCCCTTCTTCTCTGTAAAAAATCAATAAAATATATTTAAAAAAAAAAAGATTAGGGGTGAAGAGAAATAGACCTGGGGCTTTGTTAACTCATAGAAGGTGCTCCTGTTGGTTCAGCCTGAGGTGCATTAGCGAAGCAGAGCATCCACATGAAGGGAGGGGAGACGGGAAGCCCCAGGTCCTCAGTCCTGGTCTACTCATGAGGACGGCACCACAGCTGGTATCTATACTGCGTACCTACGGCACACCCAGGGCTGTGTGTGTTTGGGGATAGACACTGAAACTTACTGATCTTATGAGAAATGGGTACCAGCTGAGAAAAGGAACACTCATCAATGACAGGATGGGGGTCTGCAAAACCTTGTCAAGGTCGGCGCATGCAAGAGTCCCGCCTTGTAGTCAAACTGGAGATAAAGAGGCAGAAGACACAGCCTCCTCACCGAGAGCTTAGTTCTGTGGGGATGCTGCCAGGTTAATCGGTTCCATGAGGTATATGCCCAGGGGGTTGGGGGAGGGCAGGGGGCAGGGGACAGGGCGAAAGTGACACCACGTGCTCTAAGAACACAAATTCTCCACCTCATACTGGACACGGCTGCTGCCCCGGATGGTGCTGGACGAAGCAGCATGTGTCTGACGGGCTCATCTGCGTGCTCTTACCTCCACCGTGATGAAAACCTCCTCTAGGTGACTGGCAAAGTTTTCCATCTCAATAATCTGCTTTTCCAGCCTGTACATGTTTTTGTGAATTTCATCCTATCAAACAGAGGATCGCAAGACGTTAATGCTACATCCTTCCTCCCCTTCTGCGGAAGGCACGTGAGAGTTACTCCCGGCCTGATTACTTGAGCAGATGCAATGGCAAGAGAAAGAAGAACTAGCGAGAGCCGCTTACCTTGGCGCTTTCCAGGGCTTTACTGAGGGGGGTCACCTCGTGCTCTTTGTGCTCATCCAGAACCTTCTCCGACGCTCTTATTGGAGTTTTGCAAGTGACACAGAAGACGTCAGGAGCTTCCTCCTCGTCCTCCTCCTCTGGGATGACATAGCACTCGTACTCCTCGCTGGCCCGGCCGTGTGTGTACCTGTAGGCCTCCCGCAGGTCCTGGCACTGGCTCTCAGAGCCCCACCCTCCGAAGCTCAGGTCTTCAGCCTCTGCTGCCTCTCCACTAAGTCTCCAGTCTCTCTGCTCCACGGCTGGTTCTCTCCCCGCCACCATGTAAGCAGGATATTCCGAAACCTCTATCCTGGGCATGTTTTCGTTAACAAACTCGTCCCCTAATTCATCATCATCTTCGAGTCCATATAAATGGACAAGTTCATCCACTTCCTCTTCGAGGTCTCTTTGAGACATACCTCTTGCGGCCCCTCTTGGCTCACTGGTCATTTCAGCTCGGATGACTTCTCAGCCGACTGTGTTCTTCCAGGAAGATCTACAGTCTGTCTCCAGAGTCATACGGACCTAGGGGATACTAGCAGAAGTCCCTGGGGCAGAAGACCTGTCCCTGTTCTGGCCCCCTCCCTGGGCTTCCTCCACCGTTGCCCTGGCAGCCCTGGGCAGCACCTCTGCACGACAAGGATCCTTTCCTGGACTGTGAGCAGTGGATACCCTGGGTCCTAGAACACAGAGAAAAGGAAAACACTCGTTTCTGAGAGGATCAATGCAGGAGGTGGTCATCAGATCGGGCTCACCTCATTCACAATTTTTAAAAATCTTCTGAACAGCTCAGTTGTGGGTTTACTTTGAACCATCTGTAAAGAAGGGTGTGCACAAGCAAAAAATGTTTGAAGACCATGGATCCATGCACACAGAAAGAATGATCATTTTTGTTTAGAGAAGCAGGCTTTTTCACATTTAACTGAATGTCACAAACAGGTACAGCTGATGTGCAGATAGTGGCCTCAATTTCCATCCACCATATTTATTGTATTACGGTAACTAACCTGCACAAATATTTTAACAACAACATATTCCTACATAAAACTAGGAATTATGTGAGCTGCTTATCTTATTCCCTAGTATTTTTTTTAAATTGACTTTATTGAAATATAATTTACATGCCGTAAAATTTACCTGTTTTAAGTGCACAGTTCAGTATCTTTTAGTAAATACCCTCAAGTTATGCAACCATTATCACAATCCAGCTCCTAAGGCCCCTTTTAAAATACTGTGGTAAACCCAATGGTTTTAAAAAAACAAACTAATATTATTAAACCACTCCAACATGACATATATGAAATAGGTTTCAGAGGAAAATAACAAAAGCAAAAATAATTTTTAAGATACAGTTTAGCACTTTCTCCCCCTAGCCATAACTTTTATATCCAAATGGCTTCTTAGCTAAATATTCAGAATTTGGGGGGAAAAGGAACATTAATAATAAATTGGCATTTTACAAATGATGATACTGAGGCTTAGAGAAATGAAGTAATTAATCACAGTCTATAATGACTATATTGGCTAAATAGCTTCTACTCTATGTCATAAGCTACAGTTAAACATAAAAAGACTTTTGCAAGTCTTCTATGGGAGGTGTGTCCCTGTGCTTTAATTAGAAAAGTCCTCCCCAAAAATGTTTTTTTAAAATCTTTTTATGGGTCATGGATGCCCCTGAGAATCTACTGAAAGCTGTGAATTCTCTCCCCAGAAGTGAGCCCATTAGGGCACAAACAGTTTTGCTATCTTTTCAGAACTCAGCCCTGTAGCCCCGAGCAATTCCCGAACCACAGCTACAGAAACCTGCTGGAGAGTGCTGGCTGTACTGTGACACAAAATGGTTCAAATCAGCTTTACAGGCGCAGCCCAAACCCAACATCTTCCCATGGGAGCAGGGGGCATGCCTAACAGTGAGACAGGATGACAATGCTTTTGTCAGTATTTGCACCAGAGCATGGAATTGCGCTGTGTCAGCATGTACACGTAGGGTTCCAAACTGTTCTAGCAAGCAGACCCCTGCACTAAAAATACCCTCAAGACACCTGGCAAGAGTCCCCAGCCTCAGAGCGTCATGTCCTGTCCCCACCCCACGTTCAGTGAAGGCGGATCCCTGCCACCAGAAGGCACAGAAAGCGTTCACCCCTTATTGTAGTTTACACGTCTGCAATACCCAACACTCGCTCTTCCCACAAAAAAGGAAATACGTTGCATTAACATTGTGGCCTTAAATTAGTGGGTTTCAATAACACAACTAGCATTAGAATATCACCACAAAACTTGCCTGTTAATTTAAGTGTCCATGAGCTCTTCATTTAACACCGAGGCCGTGGGTAACTGCTAGAAAACTGCACCCGGGTTCAGCAGGGTTTTCCTCCCGGTGACCTCTGCGTGCCCGTGAGCTGCCCCTGCCTGTTACACCCGGGTTCTGCAAGGGGGCAGCGAAGGCGACAGAAACACCAGCTGGCTCCGGCTGCAAATAGCAACAGGCCTGCTGTGAGTGAAAGCCCAAATATAGACCTGCCCAGGCTGTCCTGCCACTTCTGCTCAAGTGTCACCGAGAGAGGTCACATGTGGACCCGAGTTACTTCTTACTATGGGGCTTGGAGTCCTGTGGTTCCACCAAGGGACTCAGATGGCTGTTCATGTGCAGAGGGCTGGGGCAGGAGGGCAGCCTCGGCCACGCAGAGCACTGCTGAGAGCCCTCATGCTTTGCACCGTCCACCCGGGCTGAAGGTCTTTTTCCAAAGTGTTTTGAACAAGCACAGCTCTAAAGGCAATCAAACGCAACTAAATTTTTCCTTGCACTATTCCTTTAACATCTACTCAAGGTGCGACTTGTTCCCCACTCTGGATAAAAATCCGGCAGACTCATGATTTTCTGCTCTCTCTTGAGTCACACACTGTCCTGGGGGCCTAGTCTCCATTCAGCAGTTAAACGTACAGTTCAATACATTAATCAGTCACACTGAGCTCGGCCGGCGTGGCTCAGTGAGGTCGACCTATGAACCAGGAGGTCACGGTTCGATTCCCGGTCAGGGCACATGCCTGGGTTGCAGGCTCCATCCCCAGTAGGGAGCATGCAGGAGGCAGCCAATCGATTCTCTCTCATCATTGATGTTTCTATCTCCCTCTCCCTCTCTCTCTGAAATCAATAAAAATGTATTTTTTAAAAAAGGCACAAGAGTTTAGCCAGCATCAAAATCTCCCTTCCCCAGGTGGCGTCTCCAGCTGTCAGTCTGCCCTGAGAAAGGAGGGATGAGGTGGCCGGTTCTCCCACACCTCCTCCCTGAGGTTTGGAGGTCAGGGCAGAGGAGCTAAGGTGCTAAGACAGCTCCTATTTGAGCTGGCGTCACACGGGTGCAGCGGCAGGCTCTGTGGGGCTGGCAGAAGCTTAGCGCTCTCCATCTCTCCCTCTCCCGAGAAGTAACTGTACTTCTCTGGTTTCCCACTCCGGACACCTCTCCCCCGAAGTTCCCACAACCAGCTGAGTAACCCTCTATTCCAGGGGGTCCCTTGCAGTCCTCCCCCAAGCCCTGGTGGGCCACCTCTCACAGGAGGTCTCCTCACCCATGCAGCTGGTTCTCTTAGGCAGGACCCAGGTGACTCGTTGCTGGCTCTGGCTTCCTGCTGGCCCACGTCTGGATCTTGGGGAGTCGGCCCCATCCTTGGTCCCGGCAAACTGTAGGAAGCAGATGTCCCGGTGCAGCCACCTCCCCTGGTTCTGCCACTGAAGCAGCCAATCCTCCAGCCTCAGGCCACCACTGGCCCACCTGCAGGAAAGACAGTGAGCTCTCTGAAGGGTCCCTCTGCAGACCCCTCACTGAGCTTAGGGGTCAAGGGTGGGACTTCCGCCCGGCCGGTGTGGCTCAGTGGTTGAGCAGCGACCAATGAACCAGGAGGTCACAGTTCGATTCCGGGCTTGATCCCCAGTAGGAGCATGCAGGAGGCAGCTGATTAATGATTTGCTCTCATCATTGAGGTTCTATCTCTCGCTCCCTCTCCTTTCCTCTCTGAAATCAATCAAAAAATATTTTTTTAAAAAAAGAGGTGGGACTTTCAACTCTTCCCCCAGCCCAACAACAGCTCTTTTCAGAGAAATTGCTCCACCAGTCTCTTGACCAGCCGTGGGCAAAGTACGGCCCGCGGCCTGCGCGTTTGAAATGAATAAAACTAAAAAAAAAAAAAAAAAGACCGTACCCTTTTATGTAATGATGTTTACTTTGAATTTATATTAGTTCACACAAACACTCCATCCATGCTTTTGTTCCGGCCCTCCGGTCCAGTTTAAGAACCCATTGTGGCCCTCGAGTCAAAAAGTTTGCCCACCCCTGCTCTTGACCCTGGTCCTGTTTTCGATTGGCTGAGAGCATGAATCAGGTTCTGGACCATTGCCTTTCGAAGTCTGCAAATGGTGATTTGATCTCAGAATTTTATACCTACTGCTTTTTGGGACCTCAATAAAAAATCCCATTTAAACAATACCATTACTGCAGGGTATCTATCATATAAGAATTTAGAAGCAAGATAAAATATCAAAAGCAAAGAAAAATATTTAAATTAACTGTGCAAACCTGTCTGCACAACAATGTTCATTACAGAACTGTCTATTGACAGAAAATTTGAAATAAATCTGTTTATTATGGGGAATTCATTAAATAAGTCACAATAGTCAATTCAATATTAACAAGTATTAAGAATAACAATGTAGATGCCAGTTTTTTAAATATATTTTTTTTGTTGATTTCAGAGAGGAAGGAAGAGGGAGAGAGAGATGGAAACATCAATGATGAGAGAGAATCATTGATCGGCTGCCTCTTGCATGCCCCACACTGGGGATCGAGCCCGCAACCCGGACATGTGCCCTGAGTGGGACTCAAATTGTGACCGCCAAGTTCATAGGTCAACACTCAACCACTGAGCCGCGCTGCCGGGCTGATACCAATTTTTTTAAATGTGGAAAATGCCCACAGTATGTTTGTAAGTAGAAGAGTATACAAAATATAATTACAGTATAGTTATGAATACATGTAAGTATGTATAAATTCATACACACACATAAAATGAGGTTTATTTCTTTTGAACTATTTTGCTTTTTTATAGCTTTGATCGTGTCTATTTCATAGTAAATATTTGTACCTTCTGTTAAGTTTTAAAAGTCTTTTTTACTTGTAAAATAACATGATATCTGGCTTATAAATAAGTAAATTCTACAAAAGAATCATAAAGTGAGTATAAACTAGTTGTCCGTCCTGGTAACAACAATTATTAGGTTTGGTGTGTATTTTTCCAAATTTTTTTTTCTAAGAAGATACAAACTTATCCCCCTCTCTCACACACAAAGTAGAACTTTTATAATTAGAAAGTCTGCTAGTTTCATTTTGAAAAAGCAAATTAGAACCCTAGTTCATCTGGCTCAGTGGATAGAGGGTCGGCCTAGGGACTGAAGGGTCCCAGGTTCGATTCCAGTCCAGGGCACATGCCCGGGTTATGGGCTCGAACCCCAGTGGGGGGCGTGCAGAAGGCAGCCAAACAATGATTCTCTCTCATCACTGGTGTTTCTATCTCTCTCTCCCTCTCCCTTCCTCTCTGAAATCAATAAAAATATATTTAAAAAGGAAAAGCAAATTAGAAAAACTGCTAGAAAGGATAAAATAGAGAACAAATACAGTAAAAAGACATTATAAAAATACTTTAAAAGATATTTAAACAGACTAATAAAGAATTACAAATAAATCATATTAGCTAAAGTAATATATTAAAAATAGTCTTGAGGGGAAAAAAATCACTTCGCTACAAGCTTCTCTCTCCAAGAGGCCTGGGTGACAGTGAGAGCTGCAGTTCTGAGTCCAAGAACCATATTCCACCCACACAGGCACTGAAGTGGGGGGCCCCCGCCTTCAGACAGGCAACTTTAGAGCTTGGGATCATCTTCAGGGGGAGACATGTCCCAACATCAGCTTCAGCCTCGTCCTGTTTTGTTTGTTTTCGCTAAGGCTTCCCTTGAATGTAACAGTAAGTGCAAATCTGATTCCATGGCTGTCCCAGCTCAAAACCTTCAAAAGCTGCTTCCCTGGTTCCTGAATCAAGCCCCCCCAAACCTTGATTTGGTGAAGGGTTCCAATCCCGGCTCCCTGGGCACGTGCCCACCCCTCATACCTCGCCCAGTGCACTCACAGGTTGGGAGCTGGCGGGTACGTACCTGGGCAGAGACCAGGGCTGTCCTCTTCCCTGCTGCATGAACAGGTCCAGCTCCACCCCACACTCCACCTCACATGCAAACTTCATGTCCCGATTTCTTACACAGGTCTTCAGGAGTCAGGGGGGTCTTATTTAGCCCTAGTGTCTCTATATCTTGCGACAAGTTTCTTTCGCAGACATAGCACATGGGTCTATTTAAAACAAAAGACAAAGATTCTTTTCATTTATTTATTAATTAAATATATCTTTATTGATTTCAGAGAGGAAGGGAGAGGGAGAGAGAAACATCTTCTATAATAATAAAAGTGTAATATGCTAATTAGACCGGAGGGCGGGGGAGGGGAGGGGGGGCTGCAAGAGCAGAGCCCCTTGCACACATTTCGGGGCATCGGGCCTCTAGTCGATGATGAGTCATTGATGGCTGCCTCCTGCACGCCCCGCAGTGGGAATCCACCCCGCAACCCGGGCATGTGCCCCGACCGGGAATCGAACCGTGACCTCCTGGTTCATAGGTCCATGCTCAACCACTGGGCCAAGCTGGGCCGGGCAGGGTTATCTTTTTAGATGCCCCCTCTGCCCCACCCCAAAACAGGTACACAGCAGACCCTCCCGAATAGCCTGTTGAATTGATAAATCTGTGGCTCGCATCCAGTGGTTGGCGCTCAATAAATAACTCACGTTTAATTTAACGCTTGGTCTCTCCGGGAAGTCTGCGCCTTTGAGAGCTCCTAGGAACCATCAATTCACTGAAACCCCGACGCAAAGAAGACGGACTCAGCTGGGGCCCGGTGTTCAAAGGTTCACAGCAACTCGCTCACATTTGACGAATTCCTTCTCCACGTCAGTGTGTGCAAAGGTGGGGAAGGCGAGGCCAGTTGGGAATTCCCCGGCTCGCGACGAGGTTGCGTCACAGACGGACTCCGAAAGCCGGCCCCAGGAAACCATCTGGCCTTCTCATTGGTTGCCGCGGACCCGCCCACTGGGAACCGGCCAATCCCGGACGCCGCTGGAAGCCTCCCAGCCGCACACAGCCAATCAGAAGCAGCGCAGGAGGAGCAGCGGCGGGCGCTGACGCGATGACGGGCCAGCGAAAAATGTCGCTGCGCGGACGGTCCTGTCGAGGGGCTGAGAGGCGGCCGGGCCGCTGACCGTCGGCCATGGAGGACGAGCAGCCCGACAGCCTGGAGGGATGGGTGCCGGTCTCGCGAGGACCTGTTCCCCGAGCCCGAGCGGCACCAGCTGCGCTTCCTCGTGGGCCTGGAACGACGCGGAGGACAAATTTCGCCGGTGACCTGTCACGACCGTACGGCGCAGCGGCAGCGGCGGCGCAAAGGGAAGCCGGCCGGGACTTCCGCCCAGCTGGGGCCGGCCTGCTTCTCGGGCCGCCGGGTTCCGCGG